TTAACCCTTCACCTGCTTCGTAGTCTAGCCACAGGCTGGCAATGGGGGCAGGATAGCGTCCTTTTCTTGTTTCTCTCCCGTCTCCTAGCACCAGGCCATGTTCCAAAACATTCAAGAGGGAACCCACAGGCCAGATTTTTATAGCAGCAGTGTGTTCCTCTCCCCAGCCATACACAAGCAGTGTGTGTCCCATGGAAAACAGCCAGGGAGGTGGAGATCAGAGAGGCCAAATGATGTGCATGCAGGCAATGGGGGTCTCATGCAATGCACAAACTCAGAAGTTAGCTTTGTTCACTGGACAAAGCACTTTGACTAGCCAGGTGTTGGAGGGCCCTGACCTGGGCCCTTTGGCTACTGAGCTCTTCCCCCATTGGATGCCTCTCTTCCACACCGTCGGGCTTACCTGGCAGTGCTCCTGCTGTGTGTGGAAGCGAAACCTTCTTTGTTTGTGTGGTGCCACTTATGTACAGCAGCCTTCCCCATCATGGGGACCTCCAGATAGAGGATACTATAGTGCCTGTCGTCCTCAGCCGGTATGACCAAATGCTCTATTGGCTGTGGATAATGGAAGTTGCAGTTACATCTGGAAGGCATCAGGTTGGAGGAGGCTGGTGTACATCATGCTATACAGAATAATATAAAGGACAACAGAAACCAAACATACAAGGGTCTTTGCCCAAAGTGAATACAGTCTAAATTTGAATCCCATACTAGCCTGGCCGGTTCTTAAAATAAATGGTGGATGACCTGTTATCAGTTGCGTCACTCATGAGATTGCACCAGCAAGTACAGGAGACAGAGCTTTTTTCGTGGTGGCACCAAAACTCCCCAGCGGAGATGATCAATCATGGCCCCACTGTATGTGTTTTCAGATGATTTCTAGAGGACTTTTCATTTCAAACCATTTTAAAGTCGGACAAGTGGGGCTGTGCAGCGAAACGTTGCAGTGCGGAGTGTTTCCATGCAGAGTTCCGGCCATTAGATTCCCTCTCTCACACAACCCACTAGTTTTCCTGGTGTTTCAACATCCTATGCCCACTCGGAATTTTCTGTCCCCAAATCCCTAGTGTAAGAAATTTGATTCAAGAGGGATTTGAAAGGCAGGGACGCATGCAGGAGTGCTTGACTGGACCTCTGGGTTGAAGAAGTATCACTAGAAACATAGAAACAGAGCGAGTCAGAAGGGGCCTCCCGGGCCATCTAGTCTGACCTCTGGCACCAGCCGGCTCTGCTCATGACATGCCCACCATGTGCACGTCCAGCCTATCCTTGAACACGCGCACTGATAGGGCCTCAACAACCTCTCATGGAAGCCCATTCCACACCCTCGAGGTCCTAACTGTCAGGAAGTGCTTCCTGGCATCCAAATGGAACCTTGGCTCCCTGAGCTTTGCTCTGTTGGAGCGTGTCCTGCCTTCCTCTGCAGGGGAGGAACAGGTCTCTACCCATCTCCATGTGACATCCCCTCACATACCTGTATGTCACCAACATATCCCCTTGGAGTCTCCTCTTCTCCAGGCTGAAGAGACCCAGTTCCTTCAGTCTTGCCTCACACGGCATCCCCTACAAACCGGCCACCAACCTTGTGGCCCTACGCTGCACTGACTCTAACCTGGCTATATCCTTTCTGTAATGAGGGACCCAAAACTGAGCACAATACCCCAGTTGCGGGCGCACCAGAGTCATATAGAGTGGTAATAATACCTCTCCCGATCTAGAAGCCACATTTCTGGCTATGCAACCAAGGGTGGCGTTCGCCCTCTTGACCACTGCATCACACTGCTGACTCATGTTTAGCCTGCAGTCAACCAGCACCCCGAGGTCCCTTTCACAAGTGCTGCTCTCCAGCCACTTATCACCTAACCTGTACTTATGACACCTATTCCTATGCCCCAAGTGCAAGACCTTGCACTTATCCACACTGAATGCCATCCTGTTGTCTCCTGCCCACTTCCATAGTCTGTCCAGGTCCTTTTGGATCTGGAGTACCTGCTCTTCAGTTGTGGCCACTGCTCCAGTTTTAGTGTCGTCTGCGAATTAGATCAGCGGACTGTTCACCCCTTCTTCCATGTCGTTAATGAAAAGATTAAACAGGATCGGCCCCAGGACAGAGCCCTGGGGGACCCCGCTTGTCACTGGCCACCATCCTGATGATTCCCCGCTAATGGTTACCTTCTGCTTTTGGTCAGTCAGCCATGCCCTAATCCACCGGACAGTGCTTTGGTGTATCCCAAAACTCCTCAGTTTCTCCACCAGGATATCATGGGGCACTTTGTCAAAGGCCTTGCTGAAATCCAGGTATACCACATCCACTGCATCCCCTCCGTCTAGCCATCTCAGAACCTTGTCATAGAATTCCACAGGGAAGATAAGGGCCAGCGTCATTTAAGAGAGCAGGAGAACTTTAGAAGTCAAGCGGGTTGATCGCTCAGGAATGTGAGAGTGCTCGAGGAGAATGGAGGTAGACGACAGACCTTTAGATGGGCCAGAAGGAAATCACTGCTTCTTCTAACATGGGCATTTTTAGGAGAGGGCAGGGATCAAAAGCCAGATTGTGGGGGATGCTCTTCTACTCTCTTGCATCATCAGCATGATGGGGAGCTCCCTTGCCAGTTACCCTGGAAGGTTGCTGCACAGGGGTACAAACTGCCTGATTGGGTAAGCCCACTGTCTGGTGTGATTCCCTGCAACACGCAGTTCTGTTACTTTTTCCCTCCACTGAACCAGGTGCATCAAAGGGTCCATTGACCTGGCCCGGGTCCATTGGCCACCAGGTGGAACGTTCCCCTAGCCTTGCAACCCAGCATCAGTCGCATCCTAGTTAACTCCATGTGTGAATACATAGAAATCTGCTCTAAACTGAGCTGGATAAATAAAATACTCCTCCTCCTCCTTGAAAAACAAACAAAAATAAAATAAATACTCTATCGAGTATTGCCTGCATCGACTAGCAGTGGCTCTCTAGGATTCTGGCTGATGCTTTCCTGGAAATTCTGGGGACTGAGTCAGGGGCCTTCTACCCGCAAAGGCTGTGCTTTCCCACGGAGGGAGGGCCCGGGCCCGGGGCTTGCTGCAGCAGCCCTGGCCTAGCTGGCCCTGTGTTGCTGTCGGAAGAGCAAGGGAGGGACAGTGCATATCGGAGTTACTAGGCAGCCTCAAGGAGGCTTTCTGAGGACCCCTCTGGAGCAGCTGGGAACCAGCAGTCCCATCATAACTGCCATGTGGGTGCCTCCTTCCCCCTCCAAAGCAATGGCAAGGGGGTCGCTGGTGGAATGCAACATCTGCATATGGGCGGTCCTAGACTGAGTCACAGAAAAGCAGAGTTGGAAGGAGCCAGGAGGCCATCAGGTCCAACCGCCACTGTAATGCAGGACTCCAAGTAAAAGTCCCAGGTAGCTGCCCAATTGCCTCTTGAATCCCTCTAGCATGGGAGAGCCCACAACCTCCCTTGGGAATCGGTTCCACTGTTGTACTGCTCTCACAGTCAGCGCATTTTTCCTGATATCTAGCTGGAATCTGGCTTCCCAGAACTTGAGCCCATCATTCCATGTCCTGCACTCTGGGAAGATCGAGAAGAGATCCTGGCCTTCCTCTGTGTGGCAGCCTTTCGAGTACTTGTGAAGTGCTATTATATCTTCACGCAGTCTTCTCCTCTCAAGACTAAACATGCCCAGTTTTTGCCCTGTCTCCTCACAGGGCTTTGTTCCCAGTCCCTGGGCCATCCTTATTGCCCTCCTCTGAACCCTTTCCAGCTTGTCTGCATCTTTCTTCCACTGTGGTGATCAGAAATGGACACAGGACTCCAGAGGAGGTCTGACCAGTGCTGAGTAAACGGAAACTGTTCCTTCATGTGATGCTTCTATAAATGCAGCCTGAAATATAATTCGCTCTTTTTGCAGCTACACTGCATTGCTGGCTCATATTTAGCTTGTGATCTACAATCATCCCAAGATTTTTCTCGCTTACAGTACTGTTCAGCCCATTATTCCCCGTCTTGTAGCAATGCATTTGGTTTCTTTTTCCTAGGTGCAGGACTTGGCATTTGTCCCTACTGAATTTCATTCTGTTGTTTTCAGTCCACTCCAAACCTATCACCTTGAATCTTCTTCCTGTCTTCCAGGGCATTAGCTGTACCACCCAGTTTTGTGTCATTTGCAGATTTGATCATCGTTCCTGGCACTTCCACATTCAAGTAATTAATGCAAATGTTGAAGAGCACTGGGCCCAGGACTGAACCCTGCAGTATCCCAATTGTTACTCTTCCCAGTTAGAGAAGGTGCCGTTGATGGGAGCCCTTTGAGTCTGAATGAGCCAGCTTTGGATCCACCTGTCCATTGCTCCATCCAGCCCACTTTTAGCTGATCAGGAGATCACAGAGCACTTTGTCAAGCGCTTTGCTGAAGTCAAGAGAGATGATGTCCACAGCATCCCCACAGTCCATCAGGGAGGTTTCCCAATCAAAAATCAAAACCTGGCAGGATTTAGTCTTGAGAAATCCATGTTGGCGTGTAGTATTTATTGCATTGTTTTCAAGGTGTTGCCTCTGATAACTGTGGGGATAAGCAAAAGGAGAATGTGGCACGGCACTGAGTGGCTTGCATGAAGTTTCCTTATGCCAGATCAGGATATTTTTCCATCTAAAAATCTTCGTATTGACTGGTAGAGTCTCTTTAAACAGAGGCCTTGTTACCTGATTCTTCAATACAAAACAAAACATAGAGATGCCAGAGACTGAACCTGGGACCTTTTGCATATGAAACATGCTCTCCTCCGTTTTTTGTGGCCCCCACATGTGGAAAAGAGGCCTGTAGGAGATGAGGAGAGATTTGGGATGTAGAAATGCAAAGACCTACAACTAAGACAGAGCATGACAGCCGTCCAGACATTGGGCAGGTACTGTCCAGTGTATCTTCAGAATCACAATCCAAGCTCTGTGGAGTCGTGTCCTTTACAGGCTGAGCTAGTCAGTCTGTTATGATTATTTTCTCTTCTCTCCCAAGGCAGAGTATGAGCTTTCCCCAGATGAGAAGCGCAAGGGAATGGGAGAAGAGATCATCCGTCAGTTCTTCAACAGTGAGGTACAAATTTGGCTATGTGGTATGTGAGTGTGTATTCAGGTTGAGGTGGAAGGAGTGACAGAGCCTACATTAAAGACCCGGTAACAACAATGGTTGAGATTTATATAGCACACTTCCAATGTTCAATTTTTTTTACATATATTGAGCTGATAGTCTTGCAGTTTGAGAATAACCCCATGAACCTTTACTTCTTCTTCCTCTTCCTCTGGTGCAGTCACTTCTGTTTATGATTAGCCACAGTTTCCTGTCTCATCCAAACCTGGATAAACTGTGGTCAATCTTAATTATGGGTCATCCAAACTAGCCAAATCCATATGAAAGCTGGCTTGTTTAACTAACCATATTTAAGATTAACTATGCTTGAAGGTAGGCATAGGGGGCTGTGGGTTCATTTTGGACATTAGATAAACTGTTGTGGACACTAGCACGAAATGGCTCTGGCAAAGGATCAGTAGCCTTCCCCGTGGCTGAGTTCCTTTTAACTTCAGCACCAATAGAAAATTATTTTGCCGTGATCCTTACAAATGGTAAGAATGTGTAAATTAAGCAAATTAATTGAAGGGCACCTGAGTGGGCACCTAAAGGGTGCCTGTGGTGCGCTTGCACCCGTGACATGATGTTGTCCAATCCTGGTTGAGGGATAAGACGCCCTGTGGTTAATCCAGAATGGAAGTAGAAGGGGAATGTGTGAACTGGAGGGCAAGTGCGGCATCTCCCCCTTCTGCTTCTGCTTGCATTTGCGCATTCGTGCAACCCTGAACCACTTTTCCACCTCTCATCCGAACGTGGCCAGCAAACCCATGGCCCGAGCAGGGCTCGAATCCAGGCCTGCCCAGTGGAAGCTCCACAGCCTGGCCCCCGTAGGCACCCTGCAGGCCACACTGGTTAGAGCTGGACTCACGGCACCTGTGTCCATGCTGTCTGAGTGGAGCCACGGCTGCTGCGTCCCCTGGGCAGAGACCGTGCTGGGGTGCTCACGGTGAGGAGCCTGCCAGTTCCACACTCCTCAGCAGGGCTTGCCTCTCGGCGCCGGGGAGGGAGCAGCCCTGAGCCGATGTCCTCCGACCTACTCCCCCCAGCCTTCAAGCCATACCGACTCATTGCAGAACCCTGCCTCCCAGCGATTGAATGTGGTACTTCAGGCGTCAACACCTTCAAAGTCATAATTGCATTTTAACGCCCAAGTAACTCTGAGCTGCACTCCCATTCCGCCCCCTTAGGATGTGTGTCACTTCTTGGTCCTGGAACTGTGGAACTGACAGACCAGTACATCCTCTTTTATGATGAAAAGGATGCTGCGGTGATAGGAAATGTTGTAGTAATTACAGCATACCTGGATTCTTGTTTGTTTACATAGTCCTTGAGGGGGCTGCATCCTTTACATCAGCCCTCCCCTACCTGGTGGCCTTCAGAGACGTTTGGACCTCATCTCCCAGAATTCCTATCCAACAGGGCTGTTGGCTGGGATTTCTGGGTGTTGCGGTCCAAGTGTGACTGGAAGGCACAAGGCCGGGGAAGGCTGCTGTGCATCATCTAGTTCAGTCTTGTAATTAAGCACTTGCCTGCTCGTCAAAGGTGAGAAGGAATTTCATGCAGGCAAGGAAGTGGATGAGAGGGCTGGCAGAGGAAGAACGAAAGGTTCCATCCTTGGTTCATGTAGTCTGGGTTACTTTGCCTTCCCACTTCTGCTGGCCCGAATCAGGCTAGTGAAGGACCACCGCTCCCCTTTGATCCTACCCATAATCTTTATCAGAAGCCCCATCGCTTGTCCTGCCATTGAACAAGATGAGATTGGCAGGTACCTCAAAGGGCCTTTTCCATAGCAACACCTCAGCTGCAGACCTTCCCCAGGGAGGCCAGGGTAGCTCCATTGTTAAACAGGCAGCAAAACCAGCTTTGATTCACCAGGGCCTGACTTTTAAAACTGTATTTGAGGCTGCAGATCCATATGGATGCTTCCTGGTTTGGCCCAAAGAAGCTGAGCCAGAGGACAATATGGAATATGAGAGATGTGAGCACCTTAATGTGGAGTATGGAATGGAATCTTGTGCTCCAGATGGCACAGCTGCATGGGTTAGGCTGTCACTCATGGCTTGACGTGTGTGTGTTTGCTTTGGTCTAGTCCCTGGGCTACATGGCAGAGATCGGCCAGCCGCTTATGAGCCAGTGCACAGAAGACCTGCAGAGAAGTCCTTGTAAAGACCTCTTCAGCAGCTGTGTGCAGTGAGTGCTGGGCCCCTCTGGAGCTGTCGGGCACGAAGAAGCTGGTGGATTTTGCTCCCTAACCTTGCAGCCCTGTGTATTTGTATATGCCCCCAAACACTGCAATAAGCCATAATTTATCAAGACAGGAATAAGGCTAGCCCTCCCCTGTGTTCACATGCTTCCTCTCTCCTTCTCAGTGCAGCCGTGGGGAGACTGGAAGCCACAATTTATTTATGCATCAAACCCTGTACTATGGTTAATCTTAATCAAGGTCTGTTTGAACAAGCCAGTTTTATAAACCACATTTTAAAGTGTGTTTCAAGCAAACCATAGTTAAGAGGTTTTATGATATTTTGATATTAACTATCATTTGTTGGGGTCAGTTGACTTGGCAAGGTTATGGTTAATAAAATACAGGAACATACACTGTCAAATTCCTTGAACTGTACCAAATGACAGATGGGGAGAAACACTTTTTAATAAATATGTTTAAGATTGCAACCCATGTCTTATAAGAAGGCCAGGGCTGGCAGGGATGCAGCTGAATTTCCTTCCAGTTAATTTGAAGTTGTGCAGAAGGCCCTCTTCAGCCTAAGAAAACTCCACCAAACAGACGTCCACATGGGTAGCTCTGGTAGTTGCAATTCCATATCAGAAGCCTAAATCATGGGAAGGGGCAGCCCTCACCTGGATCCCAATCTCTTCCATAGGCGTCTGCATGAGTACCTGAGCGGGACCCCTTTCACCAACTATCAGGACAGCATGTATTTTGACAGATTCCTCCAGTGGAAATACCTGGAGAGGTAAGGTGATGCCTACCTGGCTGCAATGCATCTCCCTGGTGCTTTTCCTGGCCTGGGGCTCAGTGGAATGGGCTTTAAGGAGGGCTTGTGCTGTCTTCTTGTTCCAGACAATCAGTGACCAAAGACACCTTCAGGCAATACCGGATCCTTGGCAAGGGAGGCTTCGGGGAGGTAAGAAAGCCTTGGCTTGTGGATTAGAAACTCGAGGCTTCATGTGCATAGAAATAATTCATTTCACCTTGATTTGTAATGCTGATCTTGTTATCCCCTTTCAAATGGTCCATCACTAGAGTAGTTAGAAGGTATGATCCTGGAAGGTCTTCCCTGTGATGGTGCAGTCCAGTTTGTTGCTCCTTATCCCTTCTTTGGTTGTAAAAGTTTTAATTGAGAATGCTTATCTTCAGATTTTTAAAATTCTTTTTAAGGGAGACCTTTATAAGTTTATCCTCCACTTTAAACTTTTTTAACTGTGGATGTTTTGTACCTTACATTTGTTCTGATGCAAACTGCTTTGAGAAGACTTTTGTAGATATCAGCTGCCTATAAATTGGGTAACTAAATAAGAAATAATTATAGCTTGTGGGTACAGCACACATTTTTCTCCGTGCCATGGAAGAGCATAGATGAGCCGCTCCTTGGCATGGAAGCCACTTGGGTCTTCTGTGACAAATGTTGGTCTCTGAGCACCCTCAAACTTTGTTCCTGGTCCTGCAGGGGTTGGCAAACTGGAGCCCTCCCCATGGTCAGGACTACAACTCACATGAGCCCCAACCAGCATGGTCATTTATCAAAGGGAGACTGCAGCCAAGAAATTCAAAGGAGGTTGAGACTTGGAAGGGAAGCAATGAAGGAACTAGAAAAGATCGTCAAGTGGAGACCATGGCCAAGATCATCCAGATTATTGTATTCCTAATCACAGTGTATGGATGAGAAAGCTGGTCAGTGAAGAAAGCTGCTAGGAAGAAAACTGATGTGTATGAAACATGGTGCTGGAAGAGAGTTTTGCAAACACCCAGGACAAACAGAAATATTTGATCTAGACTGGGTCCTGGATCAAATCAAGCCAAAGCAAATCATGATAAGTCACACTCAAGGACTGAGTGTGGATTGTTGTTAAATCATAGGCAGTTGTTGAAATGTGAGTTATCATGTTGTGTGAACCCAGCCACACAAACAAACAAGGGTTTGTTAACCATGAATGACCCATAGTTCACAACCCAATGACACACTATTGGTTTGTTAGTATGTTTGGGCACAGGCACATGCTGACTCATATTTCAAGGACAACCCTCACTCAGCCCTTGAGTGTGGGCTATTGTATTACCAACAACTTGATAACCTCTATTCAAGGGTTGAGCATGGATTATTGTTGAAACATGGCTTATCATGTTAACTGAACCCAGCTATGCTAACAAACCATGGCATAACCACAAGCGACCCATAAAGAGAATTCATGGTTTGGTAAGAAACTGTGGGTTGTTCACAGTTAACAAACTACTGCTTGTTAGCGAGGCTGGTTGAGACAGCATGATAACCCATGTTCACACAGCATGATAACCCAGGGTTGCCGAGGTGTCAAGGCTCTTGGACCTGTCAAGGCTCACTCGACTAGAGCCACCTCCACCTCCACCGCACTCTATGCTGAAGTGTCCTTGATTGACCTCTGTAGGACGGCCACGTGGTCTAATCCGTTGACCTTCATTAAGCACTACTGCCTCGATGTCAGGTCAAGAGAGAATTGCGCCTTTGGCAGATCCATCCTCTCTGCTTTGCTGCACCGAGTGACACTACCCTCCACCCAATGTGTGATGCACAGAGAGCACAAGGAATAAAGACAGGTATCCTTACCTGTAATGGTTGTTCTTCGAGTGGTCGTCTGTGTATTTACACATAGCCACCCACCATCCCCTCTGGTGTCTCTCTTGGACACATGGGTTGTTCTGCGCCATTCACGCAGTAATGACGGTGGTCTCAGGTTTGAACCAAGGTCTCAGCTGGAGCTCTGCCCTCACACTAGCTGTGTACAGGGGCCAGGCTCCTGCCGAAGACTAATTAGTCAGCTTTGGAATCTTCCTGAAAAACCGCTCCACACATGCGCGAAGAGTCCATATGTGTGAATACACAGATGACCATTCGAACAACGACAGTTACAGGTAAGGAAACCTGTCTTTTTGGCCCTCAGCAATTCCAAGTAGATTCTGAAAAGCACGGGAGACAAGATGGAATCCCACGGCATCCTGCAGAATGCATGCATAACACAGGGCTGAACAGTAGTCTCCCAGGGCCAGCTTCTGGAATCAGCTTTTCAGTTGGAATGAAGCACAGAGCTCATACATCCTTCCCAACCCAGAGAGCTATCCAGAAGGCCATTGATGAGACCAGAAGCCACTAAGATATTCAGGAGACTCCCTTCCCCTTGACCTTCCCTAGCATAGGTCATTCATCCCAGGCCTAAAGCCAGATTGGAATGGACGGAGATCAGCTTTCACCAACCTAATGTCCTCCAGATGTTTGGGCTTCAGCTCTCATCAGCTCCAGGAAGCATGGCTAATGGTCAGGAGTTCTTGTTCAAAACAGCTGCAGGTCACCAAGTTGAGAAAGGTTGGTTTCTGGAGACCATGATAGTCCACACTCAAGGATTAAATATGGGTTGATGTTGAACCATGGGTTCTTCGTCGTGGCCTCTGTGCATCACACATATGGGTGCTGTGCCTGCGCAGTGCCTAGGCTAGAAGATTAGAAAGCTAATGACTTTTGGCGGGAAAAACTCCGCTCCCCTTCCCCTGCATAGTGTAAATAGAGTGGAGTGTCCACCATTTTACTCAGTCTTTGAGACCCTCATTCGCTGTGCCTCGTGCCTGTTCGTCTCTCACTTTGATCCTTGTGTTCACTGCTTGTTCTCACAGTTTTCATATATCTGTTCTCTATCTTTATACTCCAAGTTTTTCTCTTGCCCATTTCTCAAACCTTTCATTCCTATCTTTAAAAAAAAAAAACACCAAAAATCTTACCCTCTGCACTGTCTTCTTTCTTCTTTTCTGTGATGGCGCAGTGAGCGGCATTCCGCAAATGTATTGAGTGAGGATCCGAAATGTCCCCGGTGGACCCGCATGACCTATGCCTTCTCTGCCTCGGCGAGGGGCATAGAACTGATAAATGCGGCCATTGCTTGGCCTTTACCAAGCAGGCTAGAAAGAACAGGGAGAATAGTCTCCGCAAGCTCCTCTGGGACCAGGCCTTGATGCAAACTGACCAATTGGTCTTAAGGCCTGGATCCTCTTTGGCCACGCCCTCTCAATGTTCTGCCTCCACCACTGCCGCGCCCTCAAAGCGCCCTGCTTCAGCTTCTGCCGCTCCTCCACAGCGTCCTTCGGACGAAGGTGCCACTTGTATGGAGGGCCAGCAGCTACCTTCTCCCCCAGCCAAGAAATGGGAGAAGCGTAAGCATACTGGCTCAGATAAGCCCTCTGCGCACAAGAAGCCAAGGAAGGAAAAGGCGGACAAGCCCGCCCGTAAGGGTAAGAAACCCGACCACCCCAAACACCGGGGTTCATGTTTATCGGGGTTTTCAGTACCGACCGCCGCTACAGTACCGACTCCCTTGGGACCGACCCTGCAATCCGCAATGCAGGTGACTCCGCCGGGATCCCCCAGGTAGACTGTTCGGCCTGAGAGCGTGTCTCCTCGGCAACCAGAGGAACTGCTTAGGTAGTCCATTTCCGATGGAGAGATCAGAGGCTCCCCGCCAAGGAAACACTCTCCGACCCCGATGCCCGCAGCCAAAGCACCTGCAGATTCACTTTTACCACCCAGACCCCGAGGTCGTTCGTCTGAGTGCAGAGATGAGGACTGGCCGATGCCTGGCTATGGTGGTTTCACTGGCTGGGGTGAATTTGGTTACCCACGGGACCGTCGGTCACCATCGGTCCCAAGGGGGGCTCCATCTACATCAAGGCGTTCAGAGAGAGGACGACCAACATCTCCAGAAACCTCCTCTTCTAGCGACCGGTACCGCTATCATGAAGACTCGGATGAATCGGAGGTGGATTCCACATCTCCTGATGTGGTTATTACCTCCCAGGGCCCTGGATCCCCTGACGAGCTGCATGTCACATTTGCGGAGCTCATCTCCCGCCTCGTTCGGTCACTGGAGATCGAGGCCCATCATCGCCCCGGTCCCAGCACCAATCATTTTTACGACATCGTCGGGAGAGCAGTCCGCAGCCCTAGCTCTACCATTAATCACCACACTCCACCAAGCAATGGTCCTGGGACCAACCGGCTCAACCACAGGCAACGTCTCATCGGTATGAAGCCATGTACCAGATTCGAGAGGAAGACATCCCATTCCTACTCCGTCACCCGAAGCCTAACTCGGTGGTGGTTGAGTCCTCCCAGGGCAGTGAGTCGAGGGGTGACATGGCCGCTCGTGATAAGGAAGGGAGGAAAATCAATATGTTCGCGCGCCGGGTCTGTGCGGCCTCTGGGCTCAGCCTACGCATATCAAATTATGAAGCGACGCTGGCACGTTACCAGTACTTCATAATGCAGAAGCTGGAGAATGTTGCCTCTTCCCTTCCAGACCATCAAGCGGACTTAGCCAGGGTCTTCATAAAGGAGGCCATGCAGGTGGCGATACAACAGCTCTCCACTGCAAGGCATCATGTGGACACTGATTTGAGGGCCCTCATCAGTGCTATTTCCCTCCGACACCATGCGTGGTTGAGAAATTGCCATTTCCCTGAAGAAATGAAGAGGAGGATAGAGGAAATGCCGTTTTACGGTACCGGGCTATTTCATCAGAAGACCGACCATAAGCTGAAGTTGATCCATGAATCACGTATGACGGCACGCCGCATGGAACTTCCTCAGCAAAGACGTACGTGGCCATGGCCTCGATCCTCCTACCGTCAACACTATCAGCCTCGGCAGCAATACCAACAGAGACAACAACGCCAAAGGCAGCAGCCTCAACGGCGCTTGTCTCAGGGCCATCGACGTTTCGATACCGAGAAGCGCCAACGTTGACGGTCCGGGTGGACCATTCCATCTCTCCACTCCCCACCTTCCCCTCTCCCTTTTGGGGGTCAGCTCCAAAGCCGACTCCCCAGTTGGGAGTCCATTACATCTGATAGGTGGGTGTTGTCCGTCATTCAGCTTGGATATAGGATAGAATTTGAAAACATTCCTCCATCGAGCCCAATTCGATTTACACCTTGCTCTTCAGTACTGTGCGACGAAGTTTACCAGCTACTTCGCAAAGGAGCGATTCGACAGGTCTCTCACTCTGAGGGACTGCATGGATTCTATTCCAGATATTTTACCATCCCGAAATGGGACGGTGGTCTTCGTCCTATTCTGGACTTGTGAGATGTTAATAGGTACATCAAACCTAAAAAGTTTTGGATGACCACCTTACAAAATATCCTTCTGCTGCTGAGGAGAGAGGATTGGTTCACCTCACTGGACTTGAAGGATGCTTATTTCCACATTTTTATCCATCCTGCTCACAGACACTTTCTACGTTTCACTGTCGGATCCGATATATTTGAATTCAGCGTTTTGCCATTTGACCTCGCTACTGCCCCCAGAGTCTTCACGAAGTGTATGGCTCCGGTGTGCGCATACCTACGGATTCATGGCATACAAATATACCCACAGACTAGACAAGACCTTCTCTCAGCTGTGCATGAAACTTGTGCTTTACTTGACGATCTTGGACTTTGCATTAACCACAAGAAATCGTCCCTTGTTCCCACGCAGGTCATTGATTTCATCGGAGCACGTCTCAACTGTACTCTGGAGAGAGCATTTCTTCCTCTGAACTGTCGAGACACTCTTTGCATGCATATCCATCGGATTTGACAGAACAGAACAGTACAGGCCGTCACTATCCAGAGACTCTTGGGACATATGACTGCTGCAGTTGCTATCATCCCGTACGTCAGACTCCGACTTCGGCCACTCCAGTTGTTTTTCAACAAGTCATTTCATCCACAGCGGGATCCACCCAGCAAGTTAATCTGCATTCCGCTGTCGACCCTGCATACCATGACTTGGTGGACTATTCTGGACAACGTGTCTATCGGCATTCCGTTCCGACCACCTCAACCAACAGTAACCTTGTACACCGATGCGTCTCTCGTCGGATGGGGTGCAGCATGTGCAGTACTTCGGGTCCAAGGGCCTTGGAACCGACAGGAAGCGATGAAGCATATCAACTTCCTCAAACTCTTGGCGATTTTCAATGCTCTCAAATCTTTCGAGACTGTACTTCGGCATCAAGTTGTCCAAATTGCATCCGACAACATTGCTGCTGTTTTTTATATCAACAAGCAGGGCGGGACAAGATCACCGACTCTAGCTCATCTATCGATGGAAATTTGGGATTGGTGTATCCCAAGGGACATAATACTATTGGCGGTTCACTTGGCGGGAACCGACAACATAGAAGTGGATACGCTGAACAGACAGATGTCAACGACCCACGAGTGGGAGTTGGACAGACGACTTTGCGAGCACCTCTTCCATCTGTGGGGATACCCGGACATGGACTTGTTCGCTACCTGAGAGAACAGGGTATGTGAACTGTTTTGTTCAAGAGCGGGTATCAGACTGGGATCAACAGGAGATGCCCTTATGATCCCTTGGAACAACATGACTTTCTATGCTTTCCCTCCAATTTTGCTTTTGATGAGAGTAGCATTGAAGATAGCTCAAGACAATGCTACGGGGATATTAATAACTCCATGGTGGCCGAGGGAACCCTGGTTCACCACTCTCTTTCGACTGTCCAGAGGTGTAGTTCTTCGGCTCCCAACAATTCCTCATCTGTTAACTCAACACAACGGAACGATTTGACACCCGGACTTGACTTCTTTGAAACTGACAGCCTGGCACATTCAATAAGTCTCACTACTGAATTGGTTCCGACGACATCTCAAGTGCCCAGCTCAACAGACTGTGCAACCGAGCCCTTCCTTGGACCCGCCAGGAGTCACTCCAGGACTGACAGCCTTGGATCCGGATATCCAGGCAATTCTTGAATCTGCTCTAAGGCCATCAACACGTTGATCTTATGCGGCAAAATGGAGAAGATTCTCGTCTTTTGCCGAGTGCCATTCATTTTCTCCGGGATTGGCCTCTATTGAAAACATTTTACAATTTCTCTTTGAGTTGCACTGTTCAGGACTTAAACCGTCATCTATAAAGGTTTACGCTGCTGCTATTTCACATTACCGTGGCAATGTACAGGGCTCATCTGTTTTTTCCCAACCTATGGTTTGGCATTTTATTAAGGGACTGCAGAACCTTCATCCGTCCGTTCGTCCTGTCATGCCAACATGGAGTCTTTCTGTGGTAATCCAAGCACTTACGGGGCCCCCATTTGAACCCTTGGTGACTGTTGATTTGTACTTATTATCTTGGAAAACTGCCTTCCTTGTAGCTGTCACATCAGCACGAAGAGCTAGTGAACTTTGTGCTCTTTGGATAGATCCACCGTATTTGAATTTTCACAAAGAGAAGGTCGTTCTTCAAATGGATTCAACGTTCTTACCCAAGGTGGCCATGCCGTTTCATATGAATCAGGAGATTGTCTTGCCTGCGTTCTTTCCATTGCCATTGAATCCGATTGAACGATCTCTTCACATGCTCGATGTTCGACACTGCTTGGCCTTTTACAGATCTTGCACAGAATCCTTCAGGACTTCTAATAGACTCTTCGTTAAATATTCTGATCATGCTAAAGGCTCTCCAGTCACATCTCAGAGACTGCCTAAATGGATCGTCCAGACTATCGTTTTGGCATATCAGTTAGCAAGGGTGGACTTACCTGTGTTCCCAAGGGGTCATTCTACGCAAGCAGTAGCGGCTTCATCGGCCTTTGCGGCGGGAGTTCCGATCCAAGATATCTGCAGAGCTGCAACCTGGGCTGCTCCATGCACTTTCACCAAGCATTATCGGCTTGATGTACGTGCCAGACAAGATTGCTCCTTTGGTAGAGCAGTTCTCTCGGCTATTCTTCGTTGATGACACCTCCCTCCTCCGAGTCTGGTAAGCTTGCTAATCACCCATATGTGTGATGCACAGAGGCCACAACAAAGAAAAGCAGGTTGCTTACCTGTAACTGATGTTCTTTGAGTGGCCATCTGTGCATTCACACAACCCACCCGCCGGCCCTGCTCGGTGTCGGTGAGTGCAAATGTTCTTCATCGGTACCATGCTTAAATGTTAGGATACCGATGACGATTACTGTGATATCATCTTCAGCCTCAAGGGGGCGAACGTTCATTCTTCAAGACTGAGTAAAATGGCGGACACTCCACTCTATTTATACTATGCAGGGGGAGGGGAGCAGAGTTTTTCCCACCAAGAACCGTTAGCTTTCTAATCTTCCAGCCTAGGCACTGCACAGGCACAGCACGCATATGTGTGAATGCACAGATGGCCACTCGAAGAACATCAGGTACAGGTAAGCAACCTGCTTTTATCATATTTTCCGAATCCAAGTGTGTTAAAAAGCCATGGCTTGTTAGCCATGAACAACTCATGAAAATAGTTCATGGGTTGTTATTAGTTTGCGAAGTGTATGTTTTTCACCTTGGCATGTAAGCTTAGCTGGAGTCAAACAACACGATGACCCATGGAGTATATTCTGGAGAAGCAAAACCAAAAGGCGCTCCACCTTGGGAACATCTGGCATACTGCTTTTCCTCAATGACTGTGGCGTGCTCGTATGAGCAGCCAGGGTCTCTACTGGCTCAGCAGCTGCTGCTCCAAACCGTCCTATTATACCCACCTTTCCTCACCCGCAGGTCTGTGCATGCCAGGTGCGAGCTACAGGGAAGATGTACGCCTGCAAGAAGCTGGAGAAGAAACGCATCAAGAAACGGAAAGGAGAAGCCATGGCTCTGAATGAGAAGCAGATCCTGGAAAAGGTCAACAGCCGTTTTGTGGTGAGTGGCAGCCTGGCATGCTGCTGACCCTGCTGCTGCGCATCTGCCCCGGGCTGGCCCCTTTTAGGGTGGCCTTCCAGAATTGCTCCCCTGCCATTTCCATAGGTTTCTCTGCTGCCCTTTACTAGTGCCCACTGGCTGTGCTGTATGCAAGCAGGCAAACACGAGACAGGTGGGTTTTCAGGGCCTCTTGGCCATGGTAGCTGAGTGGGACCTCCCAGGCATGAAGGCAGTGGGGCACACTTTGGAAGGGAAGGACTCCGGCTAAAGGGTGGAGATTCCCCTCTGAATCCTGGTGAGCTGCTTCTGGTCAGCCTCAAACAGCCCTCCCCAGTCTGGTGCCCTCCGGTTGGGTTGGGCTACCATACCCATCAGCTCCAGCCACAGGTTGGCTGGAGGTTACTGGGGCTGTAGTGCAACCTGCCTAGAGGCACCATGTTGGGGAAGGCAAAATTAGGCTAGGTAGGAATGGTGGCCCACCTTTGTGTAAGACTGTGAACTGAAGCCATTGTGCCCGAGCCACTGCTGTGCATTGGGGCACCGTGCTCATCTGTGTGTTTAATGCGTGCCTGTCATGTTCCTCAGCCAAAGGGCCTCCATGAATGGCTTGCCTACAGCCAATCAAAATGAGACAAGCCCAGGCCTCTGACCTGCAATCTAAATAGACATGACACAAGAGGGAAAAGGGGCACAGAGAGAAGAGGAACAAACCAATATTCTTGCCTGAGGAGGGAGGGGCAAGCAGTAAAAATGAAAGTGAAACCTTTTGAGCAGAATACTCCACCAGTCTTTGGATCTTTTTGTGTAATGCCTGAGGTTTATAGTATTATTCTTTCTCCGGAGGAAACAACCTATAGTGGCAGCAGGCCATAAAAGAGACCCAGTCTGGGAATATTTTAATGATGTTCCAATTGAGCCTAGTATCCTGGCGATGCCCAGTCGTGCCTCATGGGAAACATAATGCTGGTACAGAAACTCTGCTCTGGGCCAGAAGACTCTTCTTACCTTGAATTATGCCCACAGGTGAGCCTGGCCTATGCCTATGAGACCAAGGATGCCCTGTGCCTGGTCCTCACCATCATGAACGGAGGCGACCTGAAGTTCCACATCTACAACATGGGCAACCCTGGCTTCGACAATGAGCGTGTCACCTTCTATGCTGCAGAGATTTGCTGCGGGCTCGAGCACTTGCACCGGGAGGGCATCGTGTACAGGTGGGAGAGGCAGGTGTTTCCAGGCTTCAGGGAGTTAAGATGCCTAGCAGAGAATGGGTGTGAAACAGAAGGGCGGGTGCCTTCCCCATCATGTGGCTGTTGCACGTCAAAGCAGGGTAACTATGAGCCAGTGTGGTGTAGTGGTGAAGAGTGCAGGACTGGGGGCTCAGTGGATCTGGGTTCGAGTCCCCACTCAGCCATGGAGCCACCTGGGTGACTTTGGGCCAGTCACAGACTCTCAGCCCAACCTGCCTCACAGGGCGGTTGTTGTGGGGATAAGATGGAGGAGGAGAATGATGTAAGCTGCCTTGAGCCCTTTGTAGGAAAAAGGCAGGATATAAATCGATAAATAAACAAACAAACTACGCCCGTCCTTTGTGTGTGAAGGGATGAGGGTTCTATGCAGCTGGGGAGTGGACTCTTTTGAGACCTTGCTAGACTGTGGAAGATTAGGCATCTTTATTGCTGGTGTTTAAAATATTCGGTATGCTAAAGATTTTATATTATGTATTTTGCATTAATTCACGAACTGGCCAGGGAGCTTTGGCTATCAGCTGGTATGGAAATAATGAAATGAAATGAAACGAGCGGCTCCATTTAGGCCCCATAAACAACTGACTGTGTTGATGTTTGGCTAGTTTACGCCACCTAAGGATCAGCTTGATGCAGGAGTGGTTGGTTCACTAGACCATCTCCTCAGCTGGGTCCCAGATGTGCTCATCTTTGGGTGCCCTTCTTTGGATGTGCCTAGCAAGCACAAACAACCCTTTATACCTAGAAGAGTTCAGGAGCCCGAGAAGTCCATGTGGCTCCTGAATTCTCATTCTAGCTTGTGTCTGTGTCTCCCCTGCAGAGACTTGAAGCCGGAGAACATACTTCTGGATGATGATGGTGAGTATTGGGTTCTCTTCTCCTTCAAAGGCGTCCATTTCTCTCTGTGTTCACTTACTCAGCTTGGAGAGACATACAGGATAGAGAAGTGCTTTCGGAGGCCCACCCATTGCTAGGGGTGTTCCCTGGGTTGTCCCAGCCCCATGGAAAGCTGTGTCAGCTAGCCAGACCTCACAGCAGCCAAGAACTTTCTTTTGCCGTGGCATTTCCCCTGCTGTATTGACACTGAACTTGACTTCGCTCCCTCTCTGTACAACTGTGAGTGCACATGGGTTGGGTCTCCACAAACTTGTCCAACCCCCTAATAAAGCTGCTCACACGGCTTGTGGAAGCAGCCTCCGTAGTTTAAGTCTGTGCACTTTACCTGGGGAGTTATGGGGGGGTAACCTATTGAGCTGCATCAAACAGAGGGTTTGCACCCTGGTGTACTGCATCCAGCAGTCTTCCCCTGGTCCTGATACTTTGGATTGCTTTTATCCAGGGATCTGAACCTGGTTTTCCATGCATGCTAACCATGCACTCTGCCACTGAACCCAGGACCATCTGCGGACAGATACACATTCTTTCTTTGAGGTACCATCCATGGTTATGGGGAGCATTCCCAGCTTCACCACTTGACCTCCCTAACCCCTTTCTCTCTCTTCCCTCCAGGTCACATCCGTATCTCAGACCTGGGACTGGCCATCAAGATCGCAGAAGGTGACACCATTCGGGGTCGAGTCGGAACGGTTGGCTACATGGGTATGTGCTGGAGGACAATTCCAGATCTCAAAGCTTTGCTGGTGTTGTGAGGCAGCTAGCTCGGTCCTCTTGGCAGGATATTTTCATATCACGCCGGTCCTATATCGCTTACACTGGCTGCCCATTGAAGTCCGGGCCCAATATAAGGCCCTAAACAGCTTGGGTCCTGGATACCTGCTGCCTTTCACTGGTATATTTGTGCAGCTAGCCCAGAACTGTCAACTCTGACTGGCAGCCCCTTTCTAGAATTTCAGGCAGAGAAAAAGCATTTCCATCCCACTCTGGTCCTGTTATCTGGACCTGCCAGGGACTGCGCGTGGGGGCTTCCTCAGGCAGAGATGCACCATCCGTGAACTTAGTCTTGCCCTGGCGTGCATGTGTGAACAGCGCTCTGACTCTGCACCTCCACTCTCCCACCAGCTCCAGAGGTGATCAACAATGAGCGCTACTCTTTCAGTCCAGACTGGTGGGGGCTTGGCTGCCTCATCTACGAGATGATTGAGGGCCAGTCACCCTTCCGGGCCCGCAAGGAACGTGTGAAGAGGGAGGAGGTGGAGAAGCGTGTGCAGGAAGAGCAAGCTCAGTACTCGGACAAGTTTTCTGAAGACGCCAAGGCCATCTGCAAGATGGTGAGTGGAGGCCGTAGGGCCGTGTGTGTGTGTGTGTGTGTGTGTGTGAGGGACAGAGAGAGAGAATGAGAAGGCAAGCTGGGAGGACAAGGTGTCCTTCAATTCTGCTGGATCATACAACCCCAGAATGCCGGTCATGCTGCCCGAGAAAGATGGGAGCACTCGAGGGCTAGCTAGGAATGTCCAGGGTCAGTGGCAGACCATGGGTGGGCATTGCTGTGGCCCATGCCCCAGCAGCCCACGGTCAAGGGCCCCTTGCTCACCTGTTCCTTGCAGTGGCGTGGACAATGGTGGGGCTGGGATGGAGGTGCAGCAGATGCCACAGCCTCCTTGCCCACTTGCTGTTCGCTATTTCAGCAAAAAAAAGTGGCAGCCATGTTTAATGGTTGCAGACTACCCAGAGGACATTGGCTATTGGGTGACATGGGAAAGTAATGAGTACATAAATATACACCCAGAATGCACACAAAATAACCTAATTACAGAGTGGAGAATCCCCCAGATCAAGGGGGGGAAAGCACCTCTTGCTTTTGATTAATTGGGCTTCGCTTATATACAATCAATGCTCAGGGGCCTGTGTTGTCTGAGAATGATGGAAGTTGCAGTGCAACACATCCAGAGGCCCTCCAGGTGGTTAGGACTACATCTCCCACCAGCCTAGCCAACAGCAGATTGGGAATGCTTGTGCCAGCCCTTCCTAAGACTCAGCCGCCATTATTTCCCTCTACTTGTGGCTTCTGCAGAGGACTTTCCCTAATTAACCCACAATGAATTGGGTTTGGCTAATTAACCCACAATTTGCCATGACACACGCTAGGCACATTCCACAGCCTTTTGAGTATTCAGCCCCCAATCTGGGCTTGCTATGCGACATTTGAACCTTGGACACATAGGTTAAGATCCTGGGTTGAACAATGCACAGTTAATCTAACCTACCAGTTACAGGTAAATCATGAGATGTTTAAGCCAGAGTTGTCCTGCACTGTTCAGGTTTGGCCTTCATGTGGCAATTCCCAGTTGGCCCAGTTGGGGGTTGAACACACCGAATGGCTGTGAAATAGCCCACGGCAAATCATAGATTAATTGACTGACCCACAATCCGCCTGGAACCAGGCAGTGTCCACGCTGCTGAGTGCCGCTTGGTGATGGTGGGTGGGCTGATGTCTCTGTTTTGTGAGAGGCAGGCAGGCAAGCCAGGTCTTGCCTTTGCAAAGCAGATCTCCCAAGGACACGGCCACTGACCAGCCACATGAGAGGAAGCAGAGCTGCGGGTGCAGGGAGCAGCTGGCGTGCAGAAGGGAAAGCCACCCTGTTGCCCTTAATACCCCTTTATGCCTTTCCCAGCTCCTGATGAAGGACCCCAAGCAGCGGCTCGGAAGCAAGGGAGACGGAGCTGTCCAGGTGAAGCAGCACCCGTTCTTCAAGTCCATCAATTTCAAGCGCCTGGAAGCCGGCATCATGAAACCGTCGTTTGTGCCAGATGTAAGCCCAGACTAACAACTCTGAGCAGCTGCTAGTTTGCCTGAGCCCTAATTTTCCAGGCAACATCACCACACCCTGAAGTCTTTTCTTATAGCATGTGTTTTCTGTACCTTCCATCCATCGTGCTCCCATTCTTTCTCCCCCACATTCAAAATATTGTGCAAACTGTAAAGGAAGTGGAGTAAAGAATCCAAGCGTGAGCTTGTGTGTGCACATTTGGCCGAATTCCAATGCAGTTGGAATTCTCTTGGCATTGACTGAATGGAGTCCTGAACAGCACATGGTAAACTCTTGTCTAGACTGTTTGCATCCTGCTGCCTGAGATGCTGAGACCACAAACTTAGCCAAACCTTTGATTGTCTGTCTTGCAGCCCCGGGCCGTGTACTGCAAAGACGTACTGGACATAGAGCAGTTCTCCACTGTGAAGGGGGTCAACTTAGACCAAACTGACAACGACTTCTATGTGAAATTTGCCACCGGCTCTGTCCCCATCCCCTGGCAGAATGAGGTGAGGAATTTGGGGCCCCTGAGATAGAAGGCAAACACCGGTTAGACTAGGTCTCAGTGGAGCAAAGCAATAAAATCGTTTTGTCCCAACCACCCTATTTTTTAAATGCCATCTTCAAGATCACTTTAAGCCTCAACACAGAAGTTTAGCAGGGCACAAATAAGCCGTGGAAAGCTAGAGCTCATTCCTGCTCCTTGTTTGGTTTGGTGGTTAAGAGACGTTTCAGAGCATTGATTTCAATCAACCCCAGTTTAGCATGTCCAAGCCATGAAAATGCAGTTCACCATAACGGAAGTTCTTTTCAATGGGCCAGCTCTACAACCCATGGTTTGACACTGACTAGCTTCAGACCCAGCATGATTAAGATTAGCCATGGTTCATTGGGTTTGGACAACGCAGGAAACCGGAGTAAATCTCAAACAGAAGCAAGAATTCCTGAACTTGTCACAGCCACACTGGAAGCAGGAAGGGACTCCTGTGACGCATGCAGCTCATCCTCATCACACTGAACTATGGTTTAGCAGGATGTTTGAACTTGTCCTGTGTAATCACCATGCTCTTTAATGAGATTCAGTTACAAATGCTGGTGCATCCCTGGATCGACATTCCGTTGGCACACCTTTGTCAGGAAGCTCTGGTTTGGGCTGCGCAAGAGGACTTCTTGTTTGTTTGCTGAATCAAAATCACCCAGTGAGCTTCATGACTATGGGAAAATTAAGAACCCAGATCTCCCAAGCCCCAGTACAACACTCTAACCACTATACCTTACTGGCTGCCATCCCAAACTGATTTATTTATTAGGTGTATATCCCACCTTTTTTCCTTTTTAAGAACTCAGAATGGCTTACATCATTTTCCCTCTGCTGCTCTCAGTCTTATCCTCACAGCAACAACCCTGTGAGGTAGGTTGGGCTGAGAGTCTTTGACTGGCCCAGAGTCACCCAGTCCACTCCATAGTTGAGCAGGGGCAAGAACCCAGATCCTCCGAGTCCCTTTCCCATGCTCCTAACCACCATACCACACTGGCTCTCCAAACTTGTAAAAAATTTCCACAGATGTACTCATGGGGGCATCTTACAGCCCCAAGACATTTTTAATCTTTCCTGTGGTAGTCAGATGCCCCACAACTAGACTTAGGATTAAACTCAGAATATTGGAAAACTGTCATAAACAGGCAAAGCAAAATGCTAGGTAAAGCTGTTATTACTGGCTGGGTATTTTTCTAACCCTGTAAGAAACCTGTTTCTGGTGAGGAGAATGTGTCCCAGTGAAATCCTATTGTTTGGGCCATCCTACTGACACCTCGAGTGCTTAAGCCTGCTTCTCTAGATCAGCTGTTCCTGGAAATCTTCATGGGGACATTTTAAATCTCCCACCCTTGGCTGGGCGGGGGGACATAAAAACAGCACAATGGCAAAATCAGTAGGTTCTGGAGGCATTTTAATTCCCACCTTTTTACTTTTTCTAGAAAGAAAACCGTACGTAGTAAGAGGCTGACATTGGGTGTATTATGGAGGTTACAGTTGGCAGACAATGCCAAGGGAGAACTCTGTTATATGTCTACTTCTGGGTAAATTCTGCAACGTAAAGGCATTGCATGCAATGTAATGCAATGAGGGGCACCTCTGTATCCCTGCCTGAGTGCGCGCACACTTGTTTGTCCCAGGCTGGCTCTTACTTTCTTAGTGCTTTTGGAAGCGTTCAGGTGCAATTGGTTGATTAGGTCCTGACAGGTGTACCAAGCATGCAGCGGGGCAATCAGAAGGCCATGCTGTTTTTCTGGCCACCTCCTTCCTTTCCTTCCCATGCCACAACCTCATTTTTCCCTCCTGTTATCTAGATGATCGAGACTGAGTGCTTTAAAGATCTAAATGTCTTTGGACCAAATGGCACCCGATCTCCAGACCTGGACTGGAAACAGCTCCCTGAGCCCCCCAAGCGTAGCCTCCTGCAACGGCTTTTCCGACGTAACGTAAGTCCCTCCAGATTCTGACTCCTTCCTTACTTGCTGTCCTGCTGCATTCCCTCGCCCCTCTTTCAACTCATTTCTTGGAGGAACAGGGCAAGCATTTTGAGTCTCCAGTTAAATCCTAAGTGGGACAGCACATTGGTGTGTTCAGAAGTAAGTCCCATTGACTTCAGTAGGACTTGATTACTGGCATGCCTAAGTATACTTGCAAATTAAGGCCAAATTATGCTGGCTCTTCCAAACTCATTTTTAGACATTGCCAATTCTCACAGAAAGAAAGAAATCAGAAGCTGTATAGGCAATTTTAGCTAAAGAGCTAGAACTGCAGTACCAGTATAAAAGACCCTGAGGGGATAGAATCGGAGTTCAGAACATCCAGAGACCCAGCATTCTGACTACCTCTGGTCTTAGGTGCATGAGTGTCTGCATTCAGCCAAGTTCCTCAGCCCACTGGATCCCAGTCTTGTGTCTCCAAATTTGGAAGACACTGCATTGGGTCCAGGATATGCCTTTCACTGGCAGAAGGGCTCTGCTCCTGGTAAGTGACTCTGCCAACTTTTCAGAGATTCCCCTCCTCCTTCGACCCACCCTTCCCACACTGCAGATCATCCCGTTCACCAAGGTCATCTGTGGGAAAGCAGAGGTGCACGTTCTGGCTCAGTTGCGCGTACCCACATCTGGATCCAACCTTAATAGAATTGCTCAGGTGTTGCCCAGCTGCTAATACTAGGCCAACCTAGCCTGTGCAACATCAAACTGCAGAATAGGGCTCTTCCATGCAAATCCATTCTTTCCACATAGACAACAAAAAGTCCTAGTCTAGGCAGTGTGCAAACGTCCAGAAAGTAGACCACCAAATGTTTGGGACTTCAAGTCCCACAAACCTCTGCCAGCTTCGCCACAGGTCAGGAATTCTGGCAGCTGAAGTCCCAAGCAGCCTATTCTTCTCCCTAACCCTTTTTTTCATGGAGAAATCTTTGTATCAACGTTACCCTGACTTGAAATCAGGCACAGATCTAGAGCTTCAATAAAACTGGGGCTTGGAGTTGGTTTCCCTGATTCCATAATGAAGGAGGGCTCTAGCTCAGTGACAAACCACATGTTCTGCATGGAGGTGGTGGCAGGTTCACCCTTTGCCACCTCCAGTGGTGATGTAGAAGACCTCTTAGCCCCCCGCAGGTCAGGGTTTAGGACTGGCTGCTGCACCAAGCAAAACGCAGTCTTGTCTTTTACGGAAGGCGCTCTTCCCACTCACCCCGATCCATCAAGCTCCCCAGGCAGGGTTATGTCTTCCTATAACAGAAGACGCTGCCGTCTGCCAGGTCAGCCTTTAGCTGCCTCAAGCCATGTACTGTTTGCTGCAAGGGTGCAGAACCTCTTTTGGCCCATGGGAGAAGCTCTTGGGAAGCAGACAGAGCCAACGCAAGAAGGGCGGTGCCAAAAGTACAAGAACTTGCCAGTGTACGCTAGCTGGAAAGCGAGCCTTAGAAGAGTCATTTCCAGCATCAAGAATGGGAGGAAGAAGCAGCTTAAACACCAGGAAGCCACCCAATGAGTGTGGATTGGGGAAAGGGCACCCACAGGGCCGCATCTGGTCCCAGGTTCTAATTGATTCTGTCTGTGGCATGCAGAGCCTCCAGCCAAGGCCTTTCTCATTGTTTGCCGTGCAAGACCTTTCAAACTGGATAGGTTGGAGACTGGGCCCGGGGCATTCCGCACACAAAGCTGATGTGTTATCACTATGCTACAGTCTCTTCCCGGGGTTCGCCTGAATCCAGGAAGCCCCAGGGTGAGATCACTGTGCAACACAGTATATGCAACATATCTAACTACAAGGTGGTGGTGGTGGGAGGGGGAGCCCTCAAGCATTCCTCGGCATTCTGGGAGACCCTCTGCCAACCGTCCCCAGCAGTGCCTGTGTACCCCAAGTCTTCCCCCTTGAGTGCTGTCCGCCTCTGCTTATGTGTTTTCGTCTCTGCGTTTCCCCCCACAGCCAAGTGACTTCACCATCAGTGCCAATGCACACTCCAACCTGCCAGTGGCCCCCTCGCCAGCCTGGCCCACAGCACAGGCCCCCTCCTGACCCCCGGCCTGGAGGCCCTCTGAAGCCACCCATCATCCTTTGCCTTCTCAGGGTTGCCTTAAGCACAATGCTGACACCAGGACTTCCCCACCCTGTGCTGGACTCCATCGCCAGCTAGGAACCTGGAGAATGCAGCCTTCAGGTCTTCAGGATGGGCAGGTCAGCATCTGGCCGGGAGCCCCTGGCCGCCTCCTGGTGCTGACGTGGACTGCTGGCTCTGCTGGGACTCCAGTTGGACTCGCTCACCTGGAGCCCAGGATGCCGCTCCTGGCTTTTGCTCCCCTTCGGATCACCTGGGAACCTCTGGGCATCCTGCCGCCACTGCTCTCTGCCTCGGCAGCACCACCCCTGCCATGGTGTGAATGTAAGACTGGCTGGGGAGCATGTCTGATCCCAGAGGGTCAGGATGGGGTGTGTGGAGACAGCTTGAAGGCAGCCATCGGTGCCTGAATGGGAGGGCATGTGTTGCGGGGAAGGGAGTGAACGGGTCTGGGAGAAGACTATCTCCGAAGCAGGAGCCTTCCTGAGCAGTCTTTGTGGCGCCTGAGATGGAGAAGGGCCAGCTGAGGCACACGTACGACTGCGTACGTGCATTAAATTATTCGCTCCTTTGGGGCCATCCAGGGTTTTCCGGGAATTCTCCCACTGCATACTCTTTACAGAAAGTCAGGCTGCAGAACAGTCATCTGAATGGGATGGTGTAACGTGGCATCCTGCAAGAACGGGGAGTTGGACCCCATGGCCTTGCCTGGCTCCTTCCAACTCTGCCGTTCTATGATTCTATGGATATCAGGCCTGGGGCCCAAAGCTGGCCCACCTGGAACCTGAGTCTGGCCCTCTGGTGCTCTCCAGACAGCCGCACCCCTTCCTCTGGCCCCACCCCCTTTCTCCTGGCCACAAATGGCCAGATGGTTGCTCTCCCCTCTTTTAAAAGGTTGAAACACCATTCCTAAGGCTTAGTGACTGGCCGTAAGGGCACTAAGCTGCAACAGGTGGATGGTTTTGGCCCCATTCATTTTACCTAGGACCCCCCCCCCACCCCTTCCTCCACTGCTGTGCAGCTCCATGGAGCTTGCCTAGAGTGGAATTTGGCCTTCAGGCTGAAAGGGGGTTGGCAGCTCTGCTTGAAGGCGTTCTGCAGCCTGGGGTCCTGTGGAGGAAAAGAGCAGGGCTGGGGGTCATCCCAGGCCTTCAGCATAGAGGATCAAGGGGGCTGAAGGACCTTTGGGGCTTCCCCACCTTTCTTGGAAAGCAACCTTCCCAATCTGATGCCCGCCAGATGGTTCGGACTACAACCCCCAGCATTTCCAACCATTAGCCATGTTGGCTGTGCCTGATGGGAACTGGTGTTCTAAGTGTCTGAAGGGTACCCAGTGTGAGCAGATAAGCTGGGAAAGGGAGTACCTGGATGCTTAAATGCTTTGTACAGTCAGGGAACAGATCTGATGTGCATCTTCTGACCAAATGTGTGGATTGAGACATGGTCATCCTTTGGATTCTACACTGCTCTGGAGTTTCCAATGTGATTTCGCTTTACAGAGTACCAAAATACATCTTTTACAATAACATTCATATAAAGATACTTTTTTTAAAAAATGAGAAAATATATAGAAAAAGTTGTATTTTACCACCAAATGCATACAAATTTTCATATGTCCTTTAAAAAACAAGCAAACAAACCAAAACTCACAAACTGATGGAGAAATGGAAAGGATTTATGAACTAACGCAAGGGAAATTGACACAGACCAAACATGGTGTGATCTATTCACTGCCCCTGCCTCCACAGCCAGCTGAGAGGAGCTTTGAACTGTCAATCAAACTGGAAAATTTCACTGAGGCAGGAACAGTCAGTGATTCCAGACCAAGAATTCCACTTTAACTACAACATGCAGTGCTAACGGACCTGGTTTCTTTATCTCTCCATGTGTTATTTTATAAACCTCTATTATGGATAATTTATTTAGACCTGTCTCCTCCCTTTTTGCTTTCTGTTTGTCTGTTCCCCTTTACCTCCTCCTCCCCCCTCTCCATTCTGAAAAAGAGGTTGCAGTCACTGCTTTTGAATACATCTAGACTCAACCTGCCAGTGGAATAACAAATCTGCATGGTTAGACAGCAAAAAGTCTTCTAGTTTCCCGAATTCCCCAGCCAATCATGCTAAATGGAGTGTGTGTGATCGATCTGAACAGCCCGATCCTTTACAAGTTTCCTCAAAATTAAGGCCAGCTGTAGCACACAATGGAATGAAGGGACAACAACACAACAGAATAGACTATACCACTCTGGACTGCAAGTATATGACAGCCTCTTCCCTTAGATTAAAATAGGCAATAGCAATTCCCTGCCATGGAAGAAGCAGCTTAATTCCAGATGTGCTAGTTTTCTAGTTGTGGGGAGTTTTATTTTACATGAGGAAGCTGTCAGGAGCTATATCAGTACATGGCTGCTCAGTTTGTGTACCACTGCTAGAAGGCCTAAGAAGGGCTTTGAGCTCTTCAGATTGGCCACTGGGCTTTCTTGGCTCAGAAAGGAAGTGTGTATCCTATGCATATTTAGACAGGAATATGCTTCTCATGCTGGTCTAGATGGTTTCTCACCTAAACATGCATAGGATTGTCTCTGGTTGGTTTTTTCTTCCAACTGCACCTTGCAGTGCGGTAGAGCTTGGTTGGAAGTGCAGGTGCTCATCATGGTGCCTTCAAGGAGAGCTAAAATTCCAAGCAGCCCAATGGATTCATGTTCACAAAGCCTTTCTAGACGTGTTCATCTCCACCAGGAGCAGGCCTTTGGTAAGGCGAATGGGTCTGCATGGTGCCTTCAGGAACAAGACGTCCCCAAACACTTTGCATCACAATGAGGGACGCCACATCGCTGCCCCTGCAGCCACCGTGAAGACTGGAGCCAAACTCAGAGGAAACAGGGAGTGCTGACGTGGGTGGTAGAGGACAGTGATTTCCCTGCTACTGAAAGGTGCTGATGCTGCGTCTCCATGAGCCCTGGGTCTACCATCCCTCTGGCACTTGGGTTCAGCAGCAAGCTTTTCCTGGGCTCAGGTGCATCCCTGCTTGCCCTTTGCTCCTAACCTCTACTTGTCCTCCTGTTCTGACTTGTCCTCTGGTACTGACCACAACATGGTGATACATTTAGAAGCAAATCCCTATCACCACATTATTTGTGTACACGCACATGCATTTTTCAGGAGTTTCATATCCCGGCACCAGAGAAAAACATCTAATCTCCAGGTCAGCGATCCAATTGTAGAAGTTTTCTCCTCCAACAGGATCGGATCTTTTGTCCATCAGAAAGACCAAGCTACTGCAGGAGACCTCACATTACAGCAGGGAATACTTGCAACAATTCTTTTCTGCTGGGGAAATCTGTTTTCCTGCAACTGCTGTGAAGAGTCTAGTTAAGTCAGAAGACCAGGAGTTGGGTGCAGACAATGGATCCAGCCAACCCAGCATTGCTCTCCAGGCCAGAGGCTCTCCTAGCCCTACCGGGATGTGCCAAATACGGCCCCGAATCTGAGACATTCTGCATGCTCTGCCACTGACCCGCTCTGGTGAGTTGCTCACGAGGCCATCGCTCTCTGTGAAGGCCAGGGGAAGAGAAATCTATTTTTACCAGAAGTGCTCCCTTTATCTTATCTTCTAGCTGTTGCTGGGGAAAGGGTCTGAGCCAAGCCTGGGTCTCAGTTATTAGATTTTTGTTTAACAGAGAAACAATCTGGCCTTGGCGCAGGAAGGACTTCTCTCTAAGGCTGTAGGGAGACCCTCCAGCTCACCTTGCAGCGGTTACCTTTGGATACAAGAAGCAGCAGCTGCTTTTTCTCATGTCCTTTGTTCTCATGTGCGAAACAGCCTGTTTTGGTGATACAAGCAATGCCAAACTGGGCTATGGTTCATAGACCCTGGACACCAAACTGCATATTATGTTAATTGTGCAGTGGCAATTTACTTTAAAAAACCCTTTAGAATACATCTTCATGGCTGCCATTTCAACTGGGACCACCACCCACCACAACCGGAGGATTACACCCTCTTGCCACCATTTGCTTCCCAAAGTGCCACACTCATGCAGGGATTAAAACAAGAAGAAGAGAACTATGGGAGACCTGCTGTTCTCTTTGAAGCCAGAATTACCAGAGGAGAATGCAGTCTGGACCCCCTGCAAGAGCAACAGCCCCCACATGGGCAATGATGGGTTATGGGACAGGTTGAAAACTCCTGGAGGGCTCCAGGTTGCCTACCCGCTGCAACATGGCAGGCCTAGCTGCACCTGGGCAGTTTTACCACTGATTTTCAGAATGCATGAAACCTGCTTTTCAGCCATCTCTTGTCCCTGTAAGAGAAGTTTGATCTGCAGGTCCTAGAGCAGGGCGAGGCACGGATGCTGAGATGACAGACATCTTGCTCTGGCAGAGGTTGGACCTGATGACCTTTCAGCTCCCTCCTGACTCCATGAATCCCCATCTCCAAGATCATGTCTTGGACGCCTGGAGAAGGGGATTATGGTGAAAGGAATTTGTGTGCTCACTGACATATGTGTCATGTATGTGTGCATGGGCATCCTCCAACTGCCAGGCCCCCAAAGCTCTGGCAGGGCTCCCCACGGAGCTCTGAGCTTTCTTCACCCTTAAATGGTTAGGAGAGATGACAGCTCCTTGCTTTGCTTCAAACTTCACCCAACATGGGTATCCTGCAGGTGTGTTGGACTGCAAGTGCTCTCATACCCTGCACAGGTAGTGAGTAATGGGAGTTTAATCCGACACATCTGGAAAGCACCAGCTTGACTAAATGCAGCTTCAGTTGTGGACCTTCAGGATTGCTGGCTGAGCTGTATTTAGAAGGATTGCATCCCGCCTCTTTGTGGAAGAAAAAACCAACCCAGCATTCTTTCTGTCCCAACCTGCTGAAAGTTCTGGGGACACTGCCATTTTGAAACAAGAAGTTCTTTTCAGCTTGTACTCTCCATGGTTCAGATGTTTGCTTTGTTTTGTTGTTCTGTCCTTTCGGTTATACATGCATTTAGTTCCTGTAGAACAATGTCTCTTGGAGCAGGACTTTCCTGGTTGTGATGGTGGGCTTGAGTCTTTTCCTTTAAAAAAAAAAATTATTAAGATTTTAAACTAAAACTACACATATCAGTCATCACACACATCAGATTTACTGGGTCAGCCCCCTACAACATGTCTTTTAACATTCTATGGGCATACTATAATCCTTTTACAATAACATGAAAACATCCTTAGATCAAAACCAAGTCCTGTTTCTCCAGCCAAATAAAAATGTAATTCCAAATTTGATAGAACTCACTATCTTCCTTCTTCCATCTTCTTTTATTGGTAAAATCAATCCCATCTTTTCTTGCAAAACCCGTTTCTCTTGACCATTATTTAAGGGAAGTTTTTCCAGGTTGGGTGAAATTGCAACATCTTCTTTCTTCTTCAGTGATAGATTTCATCTAAACATTTCTGAACAATTCAAATTCTATCCATTTTTCTAATAAAAAATAACTTCCTCACTACCACGATTACTAGTAACTTCAAAAGGATCTATTTGACATCTCAAAGGGCATCCTAAACTACTCTGCTTAGTGATAACATTAAGCCAATTTTCTTTAAACTCACTAATGTTTCATCTGACAAACTCCATCTAATGAAATATAGTTAACTCCATACAGTATCACATATAAACTTACCAACCCATATAAGTCATTCATTTTTTTTAAATAGCAAGTTCTCCTATATTCAATTTCAGATATAATCAGAGATATCCATTTAACAATGTTTCATTAAGCTAAGTTGTTAAGTTTTCACCAACCACATTAAATTAGCCTTTCTGTATCTCATGTGCACATACCAGCCTATTTAAATCATCCCTTTTTAAGATGAAAAGAGGAACAAAGAGAAAGAAAGAGAAAAATCTTTACAGTTACAAATAACATCAAAAGCATCCATTTATCATCTCTAAAAACAACTCTATTTGGTGACTATTAATACCTAAAATGAATTCTCTTATTTTCAAATACAGATAAAATCAAAAACATCCACTTAGCATCTTTAAAAGCACCATTAATTTATCTGTTTGGTGATAACTAATACCTATAGTATCTTTTAGCCGAAATTTCTTTAAACTAAATTACTAATGCTTCACCAAGAACAGTAGCTTAGCTTTTCTATGTTACATATGAGCATGCCAACCTCTATGCGTCACCCCTTTTTGAAATAACAAGAAAGAAAGTTCTCTTATCTTCCCTTTGATTTTTTTTACACCTCTACCAAACCTTTCTGTTTTCTTTACCTTATAACATCGTAATATCTGTAGTAGAATTTTCAAATGTGGCCACATAAACAAAGGCTCTCTTAAATGGTTAACTGTTTTCTCCTTCTCCAACATAACAAGCAAATCCAATAACCACATGCTGATTAGCTCCACAGATTGTGCCAACTTTTCCACTCGTACAAAAAAACATGCCTGTAATAAATCATGTAATAAATCGTATCCGCCCGTTGCTTCTTTGTTTACATTAGAATATCGTAGTGTCTGCAGTAGATCATGTATCTGGGACTGTAGCCCAGCCATCTTCTCTTTTTCCAGCTTAACAAGCAAATCACATGGAGGCTTATTTATTCCTGATGTTTCCAAATATCCGTTTGCTTGTTGTCTATTTACAAGCCCATCCCATAAAAATTTGCTCTCCAAATATCCATCTGCTTGTTGTCTGTTTATAGGTCCATCCCATAATAATTCACTTGTTATCTTCTCAGTTTCAAATTTTTCTTCTGCTTGCAGGGTATTTTGCATATTCTGCTCAGATACAAATCGTTTGGTCAAAGCTTGATTAATAGAAAAAACTAACTTATCAAAACCAACTTTTGATTCAATTAGGAAACAGTCAAGTTGCTTAATTAAAACAGTCTTCTGTTGCAGTATTATTGCCTGTTGAGATCGCTGCAAGACTGCTAAAGAGGTCTGTATTTCCAGAAGTATTTTTTGAATTTCTTTACTTTCTTCCATATTAATTTCTTCCATATTGGCAGTGATTTTGCAGCCTTGGCAGGGGTCCAAGAGTCTCAGGAACAAAGGCACAAAGATGGCCGTTATTTTGGAAGTAGTCCAACACACAAGAAGATTACTTCTATCGTTCAATTAAACAATTTATTGTTTTAGTTCTTGCCCTTGGAGAGATTGAAGAAAAAAAAGATCTTTTCCTTACTTACAAAGAGCTCTGTCTCTCTCTCTCTTACTTACAAAGAGCTCTGTCTCTCTCTCTCACCACCTTTCAATTCCATGGGCGGGGAAGAATTCTTTCCCTCCTACATCCGAAGGACTTTCTGTTTCTTCTTTTATATCAATTAGCAAACAATGCAGCTTTTTCCACGGGTATCATTGCAAAAAAAAGAAAGAAAGAAAGAAAGAAAAATAGTTTCCAGTAGACCTGATGCTAATAGCTAAAGTAAACTAAACAAAAAAAGTGTGCCGAGGACTTACACAGAGCTGAGATCTCTCCTGTACCATCCAGCTGAGAAAAGCTTGATTTTCTCCCAGTAAGCGCAGAATTGCCATTCAAACACCTGCTGGGAACTTTGCCAAGCAATCTGTCTTCACCCCTACAGGGCATAGATTGGGCCCCCACGGCCCACCACCGGAGAGTTACCAGCGTGATAACGGAGCCCCGTTAATCACATCTGTCTCGTCCCGACACCATACTTGTCTCCAGCTTGAGTCTTTTCCATTGTATGGGAAGCGAGAAAATAAGGAGCAATTTTCCAGAATATCATCCTTGGGCTTCTGGGTGGTAATTCTAAAATGATCAAGGAAGTGAAAGTCAAATCAGAAGACTCTTCTGCCATATAGGTGTAATTGCATGCAACAGATTTGGAACTTGTGGCTTATTTGTCCTTCTGGTGAGCTCTCCCCTCTCTCTACCCCACCATCTTACTCTTCCTTACAGAATTATAATAGATCACACAGTTTCCTTAATGCTTCTCTGGGTACCAAATCCCAGTCAAGCACCCAAACCAGAGAGGGGTCTTTAGTTCTTCAACAGAGTTTCACTGAAGGTTCCAATCTACCAGGTGTAGTTTTGTCCTACCACAGAAGGTTAAGTTCTCCTGTTGAAGGGACAACAACATGATCTCTGAGTGGAGGACTAGTAACCACAAATGTAACATGTCAGAGCAAACAGGATTTTGCACTGCAGTTGTGACAGAATCAAAGCACACATACTGTAATTGAAATATAAAACAGCTTGAACTCAGGTGAACTATCATGAGTTTTCAGCCCTGGTGGGAAGCTCATGGACTGGCCCAGCAGAACATGCCCTGTTCCCCTCCACACACACCTATTTTCTTTTCAACCAATAATAATAAAAAGTTGTAAAAGGTTGCAGTTTGCTGCCAAAATGCATAAAATCCCTTTCTCACATTAATTCATCCCTAAGAGTCATCTCTTGGCTAAAAACCTACAAAAAGTCAATTATCAACATGGATTGAATCATAGAAAGGAGCCTAGAAGGCCATCAGCTCTAACCCCCTGCTCAATGCAAGACTCAAGTCTCCCATCCAGATTCTAACCCAGCCTGATCCTGCTTAGCTTCCAAGTTTAGGCAAGATCAGGCACTTCAGGCTATATGAACAAAAAAAGTAAACTTCCATTAGGAGTCATGCTATGCAGCTAGGTTTGGCTCTTGAGGCTGAGGTCCCAGCTCTACAATAACACCCCCCTCCTCCCAACCCCCAGGATCTGCTGGTGATGAGAGCTGCAGAAGCAAGCTCCATTTTTCCCTGATGGTGCTATGAATTTGGTGTATGTAAAAATGTGAATCCATACATCCTCAGGACATTACTTTTTTAAAAAGCTGGCAAAGTTATTTAGGTTCTTTTGAGTTTTTGTTTGTTTTGCTCTTGTTCTAACAGAACAGAAATGAAGAAGCCATTGTAAAGCATGGAATCTCAGTTGGGAAGCCCCTTTTCTTGTCTAAACATGCCTAGGATGGTGCCCCAAATCCAAGATCTGAAATGGCCCACCTGTACTACTGAGTACTATTCTAAACTGATCCAAAATATGTGTCCAGTTTATTTCAAGTTTTCTTCTCGATGCATTATAAATAGGGAATAGCACTTCGGACTCTGCTTGCTTCCTTACATTTCACACATACATCCTTTGACCAAGATGAAACCTTGATAGGTCCTGCAAGGTTTTCGGTTGCTTCTACCAAAAGTAAGGAAACCTAGCAAGTGGTCACTTCCAGAGAACAATCAAATGTCTTTAAAGGTATCAAAGACTGGGCATAAAGAAATCTGAGGATTATAAATACGCATTTGAGAGAATTTAGACCTATGGGGAAAGGATCAGACCACATGATGTTTATCAGCCAAAATTTCTCCTGGGTCAGTCACTGCCAGTTTCCTCCATTCCTCCTGGTCAGAGATTCTTTACTTTTTAAGTCTTCAGTTGGCATCATCATCCAAAAGAGAGGGTTCCATTATTTGATTTGATTGTTTTCTGAAAGGCTGACATGGAAAGTGTGGGTGTGCATAGAATCAGAAGATGCTTCAGAGGAATATGTGTAGCCCACTGGAAACATTTTGTCACATTTTCTTGGTCTTTGTGATATTTGCTTATGTGTCAGACATTCTTGCCTCTGCTGAAAAGCACTCACAATTCATTGTCTTCTGGATCCCACAATCCATTGTGTTCCAGATTGAACTTCACCCCCCCCCCGAAAAAAAGAAAAAAGAAAAAAACCCAAACAAAAGAAAACTCAACCTACATTCTTGTATCTCTTTCTTTGCTTTTTTTCTTTTTGCATCAATGCTTTTAGGGTTGGTTTGTTGCTGGATCTTTGCCCCTTTTATTTCAGTGACATTTTTCAGTTTGGATTCTGGTGCATTTTGGTTTACATTTTGAGTTTTGTTTTGTACATTTGTAAATATTTGTATGTTGAATGTCTGGATGTACATTTTAAGCTTTAAAAGCTGCAAGCCAAGCTATGTGGTAATCTTACCTGGATGTGTCAGGGATTTTTTTATGGGGAAATGTTAGGGGCAGGCCGGAATGGGGCAATGAATGAACTTCTTCTCTGTCACTTTATCTAATCCAGGGAATGCAAGGAAGGATGCCAAAGGTAGCATCCTCATTCATTAGGGGTTTTCTGTCCCGATTTTAAAATTTCTTTACAGGATACATGTTCAGGTCATTGCAGGACACACACACACACACACACACACATTAGGGCGGTGTTGTTGTTTCCCCCCATTATTTATTCCCAGGGCTGTGTGTAATCTGCACTGAAAATAAATAAAGTCATCTGCACCAATGAAAGCTGAGCTCCATGACTTGATTCATGCATGCCACTGAACTATCTTTGCAGATATTTGTCATTTCTTGCAGAACTCTCTCCCTACCTGCTGTGGAGGAAAGGACTTCAAGGGCCTTAAAGCAAGGGCCCGAAGCATTGACTTTTGGACTCCTTCTACTTTTAAGCTGAGGTTTTGGGAGTCATTCCCAGACATATCTTTGCATCCATTTGAAGTAGAAACTTTCCCTTAATGTAAAAATAAATAAGATTGTCAGAGTGGAATTCTGCCTTTAGATCTGACTGTGGAATACACACAGCCCTGCCTACACCACTGAGATGAGATAATTCCATTCAGCTGGATGTGGAAAACAGAGGATTTGTCCCATTCTGGGAACACTGATGTCTTTTGTGTAGTTTTTACTCACCTACCCTGGGTACGAACAATGTAAAGTGAAAACATACTTTATGTGGGCATCTTGTATCACAATGAAGTCTTCCTGATCTGATATGAATGTAAGCAGAACTGTTTGGTGTCAAAACAAAGATGCATTAATCAGGTGCCCTCTTTCCCACGGTAGCCAATGAAGTACTTCCAAAATGCCCACAGGAGGACTTGAACACCGGGACCACTCCTGGTCTTAAAGTAAGGCTCCAGGAAGACTTCTTGCCTAAAGCTACGCACAGAGCTTCCTCCATCACCGGTGTGTCTCATTTCCTCTTAGCGTCCTCCAAGCTGTTGGCCATTCCCACACCTTGTGGCCAGAAATTCCATGCCATAAATGAAGAGGTTCTTTTGCTTCTATTGCTGAAAGAGGGTCATCCAAGCCCTCCCTCGCTCTGAGTACTTCAAGAATCCCTCTTGTGTCAAGCCAATTGTTCCAACAGCAAGCAGGGGAACGTATCCCCAGAAAAGAGGTCCTCGTGGCAAGGGCTTGCCCCCTTCCCCACTATACCTGGGCTTGCTTGAGCAGCTTGGGCATGCTGACCTTGCTTGCTGCTTCCCGGTGCTGTGGTGCTCACAGGGATGTAGCAGCAGCGCTGTCCGATTCGCAGCTGTGCCCTTCTTCCCTTAGTTTTTAGCTGCACTCCTCACAGTGGCTGGTGCAGGGGGGGAACGACAACAGCCAAGAGTTTGGCAGAAACCATGCTCAGTCCTCGATGACTATGAATGACTGCAAAGATCCAGCCAGACCACTAGATGCTGCCATGAGGCTGAAGTTTAGCCAGACAAGCTGCTGCTGTTTTTCCTGCCAGGGACAGGCATACAGATTTTGCACCTGCATAATTATGTCCTGCAGGATGAAGGGGTGGAAGTGAGAAACACAACCTTAATTGCAGAGAGTGTGCAACCCTGGTCAAGTTTTTGAATTCTATTGCAAATAATAGTTTAAAATGATGTCTTAGGTGAACAGAAGCATCCTGAAGTTAATTTCTCAGAAGTAGGGCTAGTTCTAGACCTGGAGCCAAAGTTGGTCCTCCCAGGATCCTAATCTAGCCTTCTGGGTTTTCTGCTATGGCCACATCCTTTTCCTCTCCCCTTTCCCCCACAACCACTAACAACTAGGCAGCTTCCTGGCTTCTGTACAGTTGCCCCCCCCCCCCCATCTAAAAGGTGGAAATGCAAAGAAATTTCCTACGTGACAAGATCATTTAGCTAAAACATGCCAGATAGGATCTTCCAGGAAAACGTCAGTGGGGATTATCTCTGCCCCTGCACCAGGCTCTGGGCTGTTGCAAAGGTGCACATCCCAACTCACAGATGTTGTGATGGATGCAGCAGGTCATCATCACATCTGGAACAAGGCCTTCATCCACATCTATCTATGAGGGAGAAGGAGGGACACTTTTTCTAAGGTGGCTCCTGCAACTAGAAGCTTTTGTAAGTACTCGAATTCAAAAAGCCCTTGTACTGAAATTCTTTTAAGAGGAAAAGCGGGAGATACATTTAGATATGTATTAAAAAGAAGCCGCTTCAAATGCCACTCAGTTCATTCACTGACTAAATATCTCAGCCTTACTGACCACTTTGGGATACATAATCCAGATCCAGGGGGTTGTTCGCATTATTTCAATAAAAAGTGGATTCTTTCTAATCCAAGTTCAGGGTGTGAGTGCTGTTACTTATGTGATGAAAAGAGCACCACTCAGAAATTCGAGGTCTGGAGGGGAACAGAAGCCTAACTGGAGAAGGCCAGTGGAACCCAGCATGATGAGTGACCCAGGGTGAGGGAAGGGAGGAGGAAATCCAGGGAGGGTGTTAGGAATGGAAGGATGGAGCTATAATCCTGAAACCTAGAATTCAGCAGCTCTCTGCACTGCAATGTTGTGTTGCACTGTCACACTGCGAAATACATACGTAAGTACTGCACAAACGTACTATGATAGCAGAGCCTGGCCTGATAGAGCTGCCAAGTGCCCCTGGGAGATGCTCTCGGGACCTCTGAGCTGGCTGCCAGATCCCAGCTGCTTCTTCAGGGCTAAAGCTGTGTTCAATGTCATGGCCGTAACCCCTTGTGTTCTGTGACTTACTTGGAAACACGCCAGCAACTGATGACCTCAAGATGAGAGCAGTTCTTACAAGTTCACTGGATTTCCAGGTTGGTGCCTTCTCAGAGATTAGTCAACCTTTCAGAAGATAATGCAGGTAACCAGAGACATAGCAGGATGAAGTGGGTGTGCTCTATAGGCCTCAGACAGTGTATTAATTCTTATTTCTAATTTATTATCTTCCCCTAACTCCAAGAAGCTCAAGGTGGTGTGTGTTCTCTCACTTTTAACTCATAACAACCCTGTGAATAGGAGTTGGAAGTCCAAAAGTCAAAAGCACACCAGACTGGGAAAAGATTGTGTTTTAAGGTGACTTAAAACACAATCACAACATAAACACAGCAACTGACAAGGTAAAACAAAAAGATGCAGAATGCCGCCTTTCACGTTATTTATTTATTAAATTTGTTTAAAAGCCACCCGTTAGCATCATGCTCAACTACATTATGTAGCTGCTGGCAGAACTGCAACAGAGCATCTTAGAAATCATTCCTAAGTCTTCCCACACAGAAATTCCCTGTATCTTGAATGGATCTTGATGGAAGGTCCTCAGACTTCTTCCATTCATTTGTCCAGATCTCCAGGCACCTAAACCTCTGTTTCTTCAGTCCCTACCATCTTCACTCCGACAAACACACACTTGTTTTGAGCAGGCATGCTGATAACACCAGTTAAATACTTGAATAACTTAAAGGCAGTGAAAGTGTATTCAAAACTAGGGATATAAAAATGGCGCTCTGTCCATTTGGTCATGAACTGTCAGACATTTTTCTTGTGATCCACTCATTGAAGGGATCTGTTTGTTTTGAGGGATTTCTGAGAATTTCATTCTACTTTTACAAGTTGGCATTAGCACAAGTGGACCACATGTCTGCTTCACATATTCTCGTGAAGATTCGATGATCAAAAAACTTGCCAGTTGAAGTCCAGAGTTAGTGCAAAGTTACCTTGGCTCACACTCCCCAGAGCCAGCGCTCAGTGATAATGTTGTGCAATGTCACATGCTGTGTTCATTCACAGCTTACTCTCCAGGCATGCACAATTTTTCTTTGGTTTTTCAGTCCCAAGTCCAGAGGGTGAGGATGGAGTGCCTGGGACCAGCAAAAATGCCACACGTTATCTTGGTTTCGTAGGGGCTTATGAAGCATCTGAACCCTACTATCTTACCAGATGAATGCCAGTGTGTTGACCCATTCTTGCTTCTGGCTTACAGCTGAAGCTGAGAAAATGCATTTAACTGTGGGAGGGTGCCCATTTCCGGCAGTAAAGCTATCCGGGCATAGAAGCCCTGCACAAAGTGTGGGTGAGTGGATGGAGAGTAAGTTGTAAACACAGTTTGTGACATTGCCCAACCTCGTCCCTGAGCATATGACACGTCACTTAAGGCACCAGGTTCATTTCCTGTCTTGTTGAGGTTGAGCCCATGTGAGATACCCTTAACTCAGCTCTTTTCTGATCCCTGAATGTCACTGTTTCTGCTTTTGTTTTTGAAAAGGAAATGCAGGACTGTATTCACGATCCTACTGTCTCCTCTGCGTATATAAACAGTTCCTTGTATATTCATAAATAAGATTATAAATACATAACCAATGGTCTTCGTTAATGCATTTCAAGAATCAGGATTCTAAAATCTCACACAGAACTTCCAGGCTCAGAGGAGGCTATAAAAAGCTACTGCATTCATTCCCATGTTTCCCTGCTCCATGAGCAGAGTTTAAACATGATGAGAGTGGCTTGTTGGGATAGATTCTCACAATAATCTTAGTGACAATATATGGCATGAGCATAATGCTTTGTCTAATCTATGAATATATCTCCAGTGTGAGAAGCAGTCCTTGCAATTCCTTTTCCTACTTTTTGTCATGTTTCTGCTTTCAGAAAAAGCTTGTGAGGCTTTGATCCTTTAGCTCCCCCAGCCTGGGCGTTCCTTCCCTCCTCTCCCAACTCCTCTGAGGGTCAAATTACTGGAAACACATAACCAGAGTTGTTGAGCCTTTTCTCCTCCAAAAAACTCATAGGGGTAGGACACTGGAGTGATGCAGTTTACCTTTGGCAATGTAAACTGGAGGCATGGGATGGTCTGATCCAAATTGAGAATACAATGGGCCCAAGGGAAGGAACTCACTGTAACATAGGTATGCTGAAAACTTTGACATGC